TACAAGCTGTTCGTGAATAGACAAGATCCCTAAAGTTGCAAAGACTAAAGTCTCAAACCCAAAGAGATATTCTTTATAAAAGTTAAGACTCGTCCACGCCCTCCTAAAACGCCTCATTTAAACAAGCCCCCACATGTCTATGTCACTGTGTGGGAAGATTTGCATAACGCCGCCCAAATGTTCACGCAAAGAAAGAAGGCGTAACTTTATTGTTGCTGCAACCGCCGCCGCAATGTTGTGAAGACGCTGTGTGTTTTTGTTTGCGAAAGCGAAACTACTTTGTTTGGTCTTCCAAAAGAGGACACGACTAGAAATCAGTGGTTAAGTTGTATTTACAACACTGTTCCAGAACACTTCAACCCAAATATTCAGATGTGTGCAGCACATTTTATGGAGGACTGTTTCCTGATCTTGGGAGAGTAGACTACAATGGGAGAGTAGTTCTGACTCACAGACTGTAAGTACGTTTTCATATTTAAAGAATTTGCCACTGATGATTCAAACACTAGTTTTGAGCAGTGTAGAGTAGTGCTTATTGTTTGTAATTTCTCTGATCACAAATACAGACATGGTTTTAGGTTTATGCAGCGCGATGCAATGCAGCACGTACACTTTGGATGGGATAAATGCAGAGCACTAATTCCGAGTATGGGTCACCATACTTGGCCACATGTCACGTCACTTACTTATATACTCACTATCTCTACGGCTAAACTTTTTTTTCTTCTTCTCTGAGGCAAAGTATATCCCATCATTCATCATGTTCAGGAAGACATGTACACTGAAATCACACTTTATTTTAAAGTGCAAAGCATTAAAAATCAAAATGTGTAAAAGTTCTGTACAAACTTTACTTTCAGTGTCCCCTGAGCTAATCAAATGTTTTTGCGCCACGCTTGTGATCTTCACACCCACTTGAACACTTGGGCCAAATACCGCAAATACACTGATTAAAAAGTGTTTCTTTAAAATTTTTGAGCAGTGTATAGCATCAAGTCAATTAAACTCCTGGGATATTGGTCTAGTCAGTTAAGTAGCAGAGGGGGATGTTAATCAGTCTCAGCTGCTTTGGTGTTAATGAAATTAACAACAGGTTCACTAGATGGGCAACGATGAGACAACTCCCAAAACAGCAATGGTTTTACAGGTGGAGCCCCCTGACATTTTTTTCCCTACTCATCTTTTCTGACTGTTTTTCACTAGTTTTGCATTTGGCTATAGTGTCAGCGTCACTACTGGTAGCACGAGGCGATACCTGGACCCTACAGAGGTTGCACAGGCAGTCCAATTCCTCCAGGATGGCACATCAATGCCTGCCATTGCCAGAAGGTTTGCCGTGTCTCCCAGCACAGTCTCAAGAGCATGGAGGAGATTCCAGGAGTTACTCTAGAAGAGCTGGACAGGGCCGTAGAAGGTCCTTAACCCATCAGCAGGACCGGTATCTGCTCCTTTATGCAAGGAGGAACAGGATGAGCACTGCCAGAGCCCTACAAAATGACCTCCAGCAGACCACTGGTGTGAATGTCTCTGACCAAACAATCAGAAACAGACTTCATGAGGGTGGCCTGAGGGACTCTAGTCCTCTAGTGGGCCCTGTGCTCACTGCCTGGCACCGTGGAGCTCGACTGGCATTTGCCATTGAACAGTAGAATTGGCATTTGAGTTGCTGCAATGAAATTTCAGCAAAATGGACTAGCCTGCTGCACCATTTTTTCACTTTGATTTTCGGGGTGTCTTTGGATTCAGCCCTCTGTAGGTTGATCATCAAAGATGTGGCATCCAACACATTACCCAGTCCACATCAGTAGATATCCAGCATGATATTTTTCCCCATTGAGAACTGATGTTTTCTAAGTGTTCCTTTAATTTTTTTGAGCAGTGTATGCAAGTAGAGTGAAGAAGAGCACAAGTGTGGGTACCGGGTACAAAGCTAAGTTAATAAACACCGCTGTAAAGATATGCAGATACCATCATCAGGGTCCTGTGCAGTGAAGCTCTTCCCTGACACCTCGTTCATCACTTCCTGTAGAATGTCCGTTTGGCCCTGAATTGGGGCACCTGCAGAGCAAAGCATGATAGGAAATGCATGATTGTGTGTTTCTGTGCATGTGTACGCACATTTAACATGGCCATTTAATTAAGAATTTAAAGAATTGCCATTTTAATATAAAAAAAACGAGCCTTTATGACCTGTTTTATAAAATATGGCGAGCAAGTGATTGTAAGAGGCCAGGCTGGGATCTGAAATCAAAGAAAAAGAATCAATTATAAACCGAAACAGGCATTACAATATCATAAACCACTTCTTTCCTGTAGAAGCAGGAATAAGTAATGATCACTCAACAGACCGATGGAGAGAGCCTTCATCTCACTGATCACAGGAAAGGCCTGAGATTTGCCCAGAGTGCCACAGTGTCTCAAAGCCTTCAGGACAGCGTTCAGCGTCAGGAGGTTCGGCTTGACCTTCTGCTCCGCCATCTGCTTCAAAAGATCCTACAAAGCACACGCAGACTGAGGCAGAAACTACTATCTAAAACAACAGCTTCACAACAACATTTCAATCACATACCACTATCAGCTCCCATTTTTCATTGTATTTCTCTTTTACTTCCGGGGCGGCTGTGATCAGGGCATTGAACGTGTGCACATCAGCTAGAGGAACAAAACAAGGCTTCTCAGCTTGGGAAACGCTCATGTAGAAAATGTTTCAAAAATCTCAAAGCGTAAAGCTCATACCTTTCAGTCGGTTGTTGAGCATGTCGGTGTAGGTGCTGAATGCTTTGGAATAAGCACCATACTGAGAAATCAAACACACATGCAGTCATCTTCTGCCATCAAACTAGAAATGAAATGTATGAGAAGTTCCCCTCATCCGTTACCTTCACCATGCCTCGTATCAGAGCGCTGTATGAATGCGTGTTTGGCTCTGACAGCAGCGCAAAGATCCTCTCTGCATTATTATTCTCTCTTAAGGGGAAAAACAAGAAAAGGCAACCTCTTAGGATATGACATTTGACTTTGTTATGCACATACTCTACCAGTAAAACGTTTAGAATAAATATGACTTATTTTAGGCTTTTGAGAGAATTTACAATTACTCAATTTACAGTGTTTCTAATTATTATCAATGTTGGAAAATGTTCAATTTTTGTGGAAAATGTGTTACATTTTGAATGGATGATTCTTTGATTAATAAAATGGTTTAAAAGAATAGCATTCATTTGAAACAAATCTTTTGTAACATTATAAATGTCTTTCATTTTTGATTAATTTAATGCGTCCTTGCTAGATAAAAGCATTTTTTTTTCTTTAAATCTTACACTACCATTCAAAAGTTAGGGGTATCACAGTTTCTACAAAAATATTAAGCAGCAAATATAGTTTTTAACACTGATAATAATAATAATAATAAAATTAATTATTTTAAATGGGAATAACTTTTCACAAACATTTTTAAACTTTCCAAACTTTTTGTGTGTATACAAACAGGTTTTACAAGAAAAAAAAAGTTTGTTTCCCACATTCTGTAAGCACTCACTTCCAGGTGGCCTTCAGTAAACCACTAGCCTTAGGTGCTCTTCCTTCTTTAGCCTGCGGTTCATCCTGAACATCCTCCTGGGGTTTTACCAATGGTTAAGGAGCGTTGTTAAATTGAGTAAAAAAATAAAATAAAATCAATATAACGCATAGTCTCAGGTGACTTATTGGTTATTATAAAATGACCAATTGATTATAAAATTAAGCAATATTACTGGTTCAATATCCACATTTTGGATATATAAACTGTTTATTTGCATTATCCAAACATATTTCCAAGCGGAAAATAATGCTGCACATTCAACTTCCATCTCATCAATGATCTGACGTGTGCAACCAAAGTTGTGCCAACAGAGCATCTTGAACATTGTTTTATGGTGTGACCAGCCTACCGTCTCCTCATTCCTCTGTTCTGGAACGTTCTCTCGTGCCAGATCATGATCTCCACAGAAACAAATCAGATCTAACAACTGATTGGTCACATTCAATGACACTGATGTACCTGCGCAAAATACAGCGATCAGCAATTCAGTCGCACAGTTCAACACAACTAATATCTGCCATAATATTACATGCAATGCCTCGTCTTGCTCGTTCTTACCGGCCTGCAGCAGTTGGTCGTACAGATCCACAGCAGCTTTGACTCTTCTCATCCGAATTCTCTCTATGAGAGCAGCTTCAGACGCCTCCTCTATCTGAGCCTCAAGAGTTTCCGGCATCAAACACTTCCAACAGAAGTGAATACGTATTTCACATTCATAAGCACAAGCCCTCATAGGCAAATCATACAATGACACACAAATACTGGACACTCACAGGAATATGAGGCTGTGCGTAGTCTTTCTGGAAGTATTTCGGGTATGTATTGATGAAATATTTGGCAGCATTTCTGCCTGACTCCTGGGACAAGGAAAATAATTTCTGTGTGGGAGAAAAAGAAGTTAGCGTTAGAAAAGTTTTCATGTTATGTTCTAATTATTACGACTTGCAATATATACACATTCATTAATTTTAATGTTTAAATAAACATTTGTTCTATTAATGTAAAGTGCATGTTTGTAGAAATGTCTTTGTCTTTTGTCTTTACTGGTCTTAAAAGGGTCATATGATGCTGCTAAAAAGAACATTATTTTGTGTATTTGGTGTAATGAAATGTGTTTATGTGGTTTAAGGTTAAAAAAACACATTATTTTCCACATACTGTACATTATTGTTACTCTTTTATGCCCTGCCTTTCTGAAATCGATTTTTACAAAGCTCATCGGTCTGAAAAGCGAGGTGTGCTGTGATTGGCCAGCTATCCAGTGTGTTGTGATTGGCCGAATACCTCAAGCGTGTGACGGAAATGTTATGCCCCTCACCATTCTGTGTTTCCATCATACAGTTTATGGTTTTCATGTGTCCCGGCGCAATGAGACAAAATCAATAAAACCCATTACAAACGAGGCATTTGTTGCATCCAGTGGGGACATAATTATGGATTATAATGACTTGCGTTGCATCGCACCGCGTAAACATAAAACCATGTCTGCATTTGTGATC